GGGGAGAGGGGATGGTGTTAAATATCAAAGATTAGAGGTTGTTACAGAAAAGTATGGTAATGAAAAGGGAAAGGAGGGAAGTAAATGAAGTAGAGCACTGATTAATAAATGGGAAAGGTTAAGGAGGTAGATCGATTAAATGAATTGTATTGTATCTGTGACTGTGGAAGGAATAGGGATAACAGGTGATAATGTTATATATGGTTGTATTAGTAGTAGGGGATTAGGTATCTGAGGGTTGAGATAAAGGATCAGGAGTAGATGAAGGTGTCTGGGGGTTCGATAGGGACGGTGGGGTCTGCGGGTTCGATAGGGATGGTGGGGTCTGGGGAAGGGTATTGTGATAAAAGATTCACATGTGTATCCAGGAGGGAGCGGGAGGGATAGTAGGGAAGGATGGGGTTTGGGGGTATGGGTGGTTGAGAGGATGAGGTATTTTGAGAAGGGGTTGGGGGAATATAAGGGGGTAGAGCAACTGAGTGAATTGCAGTGTATCTGTGACTGGGGAAGGAGTAGGAACATTGATCAAGGAAAACAGACGTGGCTGTTGGAGAAGGAGGAGAAGAATCCAGGGGTTGAAAAAGGGAGACTGGAGAAGGTGGTGAAGCATCAGGAAAAAAGTCTGGAGAGGAGGGGTCTGGAGAAGGACACAGTTGTGATAAAGAGGATTTGTGAGAGAGGGTGTGGGGTATGTTGAGAGGGAGTAAGAGGAAGAGGGTAGGAGGGAACTTGGGAAGGAAGAGGATGAATATCTGAATATACTTGAAATGTAGCAGGAGTAGGAACAGAGGGATTGGGGGGTGGATGAGGGAATGGAGTGTTCCCTTGGGTCATCTTTATGAAGTTTTGGATGTCTTCAAGGGTTTCTGGAGGGGAATTTGGTATAGAGGACTGAGAAACAAAGCTTCTCTTATAAGGAGGAGAAGAGGAGATGGATATCTGAGGAACAGATGAAGAGGAAGGTGTAGGAGAGAATGTAGCAGGAGAGCATGGAGTGGAACTTTTAGGTTGCCTGGTACTACAACTAAAGTGAGGAGGAGGGCTAGGTATCCAGGAAGTGGTAGAGATTGGAGTATCTGGATTTAGGTTGGAAAATAGATTTGACTGGTGGATAGGGTGATTGGGTATAGGGAAAAGATACTTGGGGAGATGTAGAAATATCTTGTGTAGATGGTGAGGGAGCAGAGCGAAGGACTGTTTTGGAATAAGATGAGAGAGAAAAACCTCGTCGTCGTACTTCTTGTTTGGCTGCACGTAGAGTGAGGCCTAGTTTAACTCTGAGGACTGCTACCTCACATTCAAACTTATAGGCAGTGCAGCTAGTATGAAACACATTCTGGGAGTCTCCACAATTGGCATATATACGTGACTGAGCAGAGCAATTGGAACGGTCATGACCAGGTTGGGCATATAGAGGGCAGCAGGATGTGGAGCAACAATGTTTGGCTAGGTGGGCAAAACACCCACATTTTTTACATTGACGAGGAAGGGGTCGATATTGTCGGACATGATAAGACAATCCACCAACATAAACCTCATGGGAGAGGTCTTGTCTATGGAAGCTAATCTTGGCAATATTGACGTGGGATTTACACTGGCCTCTAGGAGGAAGAGTTTAACACTGTACTGCCACTGCATCATATTCACCAAGGCAGGAATGTAGCTAAATTTCAGTCTGACCAGTCCTTGTTATACATGGGACAAGCATTTGGGGGAATTGATACAGTTTCAGTACAAGTATTAAGAGCTGGGTGAGGTTCAGTAGGAATGGGTTTGCCACTAAGTTCAGTTAGGGTAGATAGTGCACGAGCTTGGGCCTCAGATGTAACTGTGACAAGGCATGTATGATCAGAGAGACTGTGAAAGGTAACATTGCCTACTTGTTTCTGGAGGCACTGCTGAAAGAGAAGGGTATTCTCAGAATAGGGGGCTGTGGGGGGAATCACAAAGAATCGATCCCACTTGGCTGGCCAAATAGAGTACTCAAAAGGTTTGCAGAGGAGAGGTAGTAGAAGGACGAGGGTGAGAGGAAGATGGGGTGGTGTGGAGTGGAGTAGTTCTGCAGGGGGGAGGACAATAAGGATTAAGAGTAGTAATGAAGGAAGAGGGGGTTGACACTGAAGAGGATTGTACAAAAGGGGATGAAGAGGAGAATGTTGGGGATGAGGAAGAGGTGTTTTCTAGGGGTTGAGTAATAACCTGGGTGGGTGTTTCAGAATGGTTAGGATTGTACAGGAGGGGATGAAGAGGAGAATGTTGGGGATGAGGAAGAGGTGTTTTCTAGGGGTTGAGTAATAACCTGGATGGGTGTTTCAGAATGGTTAGAGTTGTTCGTAAGTGTCAAAGAGAAGGTATTAGCATCAGTGGTCAAAGTCGTTGTCAAAGGAAGGGTAGGGGTCGGAAAACCATCAAAATCAAATTCAGATAGGCTATTTGATAAATGGGCAAGCCTTAATGCCTCTATTAAGGGTAAAGAATCTTCATTACTGGCCATGGTGAGCCTGAATAAACTGGGGAAAAGAAATTGTCTACCCCTTAGGGTCCCCATATGGAGTAAGGGCTAAGTAATTAACGAAGGGAATACCATGCCCACGGCTACCGGAGGCCGTTCGTGACTGACACAAAGCCAGCCTTTCATCCTTTCAGCACAGCTCTAACACCTTAGGAATGGGATAGAAGAAGGGAATAAAGAAGACAAGGAAGAGGAAAGAAGAGAAGAAGGAACCAAGCAAAATTAGAGGCCCAAGGTAGGAGTAATACTCTACAGAGGATCTCAGTCCCCGTCTCCTTAGCCCTCCCACGACAACAACGAGCTAGGTTTTGGGAGGGAAAGGCTGGAAAAACAATTCTTGTATCTAAAAATACATACATTTTTTGTCCATCTTGTCCTTAGAGAATCTGTGGAAACACCAGTGAGTGCTGCCAATGATGCTATTGATGCAGTATCACAACCTTGCTTATGTGAAGGGGAACTGAACATTTCTGAAACCAATAACCACATTTTTCAGTCTAAGCATTTCCGAACATCTCCATAAATCTTAAAAGTATATGCTGATAGTAAACTTGTAAGATTCATTTCACTTCATTATGAATACAGCACACAAACAACTGATATGAATGAATATCATGTAGTAAACAAATAAATGTAAGCTCTTCAAATGAACAAACTCAGAAAAAGCAGTACAAACCTCCAGTTCATGATGTTGCATGAGCAGAGGCTGCAGAGGAAGTGGAGCTGGAAGCACTGGTAGACTGTCATGGCAATCCTGGCATTTCCCTACTAGCTGAAGCCATAACCTTTGCTTTCTCTAATTTCTCCTCCTTTTTGTGAAGGTGCAAGAGGTCTTGAACCTTTAAAACAAATCTTGCATCATATCATAACTTAGTAAATGCTATGGATGTTTCTGTGTCATTTTTTTCTTCTTTTTAATCTGTTACTATTCAAACAAATGTAATGCATTACCAAAAATTTGTTTCCAAGGAAATAATTGCTTACTACCTTAGCATTCCTTGCGCAACAAGTTTCTTGATAAGAACAACTTTATCAGTGATGGCAAGCATGGTGGCAGTAACTTCTTGGGTAGTGTTTGGGGTTGGTGGGTGCAATCACTGAGCTTCTAAAGTTGGTGAAGTTAATTGAAGCTGAAAATTTAAACATTTCTTTATAATACTGGAATTTCTGATAATATATTTGATCTCTCTAGGACGATCTATAGCAGCAGTTCCCAGCCTTTGGGTCATGACCCTAAAGGGAGTCATGGAGGGTTAGCAGGGAAGTGTGAAGCTTTGGAGCAAAATTACTGCAAATTAATTTGCTTGCCATTCATATGTGATAACATTAAGAATACACTATGAACTCACAATGTATTAGGTACATAAAGCTGAATAATTCTCTTTTTTTTCTTGTAGCTTAAAAATGGTGCCTGGGGATCAAGGATGTGTCAACAGTTTGAGAAGGATATTAGGAATCAGTGACCTGTAATAACAAAAATCAGTATTCAAAACCAACAATCTGTTTTACCTGTATACCTTCAATTTTTTCACGAAACCATGCTCTTTGGCCATTCTGGTGTTCACTTATTTTATTGATTTCAATCAGAAAAGGTTCCCAGCGACTTCCACACTCAGATGACATAGAAGTCACACGTTCCAAGATTGTGGAGAAAGCAGAGTACCCCTGAAAGAACAACATAATCATGTAACTGCAATATGGCTTTAAAAGCTATAATGAATTATTATAGTTATTCCAAACTGTACATCTCTAACCTTTTATTATCTAAGTTCTCCTTTCTTACACTCTATGGCTAAGGATCATAAATCATTAAAACCCTAATATAATCCTACAATTGATTTGGGATCTTTTGCACAGCAATGGAAGTAATACTAGCTCACATTAATTCAGAAAGATTAGGAATCAAATCTTGAAAAATATTCAGTCTACCCTTAAAATATTTACCGGCATAGCTACACCTCTGACGAGTTCTACAACTGAGGCTTGAGTGATTACCGGGATGCACAAACTCATCTTGAATGGTGGCAGAGCAACTTCTTGTAAAGTTATGTTACTGTACCTAAAAATTAGAATGTATATGTACACTTTCTCTCCTTCATAAGCTTAAGGGGAAGAGTCGTCAGTACGGTTCACAAATTACGACTTTTTCAAACTCTGTGTGTGGATAATGATCATGTGACGCACCCAGGGCGCCGGTTGCCAGATGCGTAACACGCTCCTTTCCGCGGTTTAAAGGTCTTGGGTATTTAAATGCCCTCGTGCTGCCACACCCCTTTTTGCTTCATGCTTTGTTTTTCTTGTATTTTCAGCGTTTTTTCAGCTGTTTTTGCGAATTTCTTTGGTATGATACTGCTGTACGCTAGTTTAGGCTGCGTTCAGCAGACAGGCAGCAGCAGCAACGACGGGAGAACAGTGCGATTGATAAAGTATTCGGGAGTACACATGTTTTCAACCTGTTGAAAACCTAACAATATGTCATTTATATATCAGAAATGCATAATATACAATTTATTATGTACTATGATATGTAAATGACAGAGGGACCAGGAGCCTTGACATCTGAAAGTATACTTTTCAGAGAACACTCCCACCTAACCTAACCTAACCTTGACATAAAGATGACCTAAAATTACCTGAACAAGGCCTGACCCTCTACCACAGGACTCATATTAAAGGCCAAGGAATTGTCTAACTAGATATTCACATTTGGTAATCATTGGTATGACCTTTATGATGTAATGAAGATGAATGACAAAAACTGCCATTTTCTCAAAATCATATTTTCACGCATGATAGTAAGGTTAACTTTGTATGTAATTACGCGATTTTAATAATTCTTGTTGCAAAATGATCATCCAGTTCGTATCTGCTAACTGTAGCAAAGTTATGCATTATTTCCACCAAATACATTTTTTACTGAAAAAAATAATGGCGATTTTCGGACAAAAAAAAGGCGCTTTTTTGCAAGGTAACTGAAACATTGTCGTTTCAGATAGATTTACATAAATACTACGTTTGGTACTCCTATTTGTTGACTAACTCTGGTCAGAAGGAAACTGCAGTACTATTCACTATAAGGAAACCATCACATAATTTTTGAATTCTATTATCTCGCTCATTTTTTTTTTTTTCAAAAATTTACACAGCTTTTTTAATCAAATTTCTTGTATACAAGCATCACATACCCATGCACTTTGTGTAAAAGAATTACTGACCTAGCTAAAAAACTAAAGTAAGAAGGATCGGATAACGAATTTCGTGATCGTACCGACGACTCTTCCCCTTAATATCATATATATCTATATATCATTACATGTCACATACCACTGCTTGACTTCTTTAAAAATCAACTAAAGCTTAATCTTCAAGTGAGAAATAATGAATCTCTACTCCAAATGCCACCTATCTTTACCCATGAACATTACTGCAAGACTTTAAGACAAATTTTAAAAGCAACAGTAATTTGAAGTTGCTTGCATATAATTAAATCAAGATAACAGGATTACCCTCTCCAAACCCAGACTCACTTGAACAATGCCACTTGGTTCTTTTAGCCAAAGTATTGGAAGTGGTCATGGTGCAGGGAGTGTGTGCACCCTTGCATTCCTCTCCTGTTGAAGCTCCCACCATAGAATTGCAGCTCCAGGTACTTGGCAAGGGATAGGGACCAGGTTTCCAAAGAGATCGGTACCATGGAGGTTACCTGGGTGACAAAGGCAATCAGGTTACAAAAGTGATTTGCCTGACATACATAGGGAGGGAGCAATGGCGTAGAAATAAAAAAAAGCAAGACAAAAAGGAGGAAGCTGTAATGAAAAGGGCTGTTCATATTGAGAATGAAAAGAAAAGAGAAAAATGTATGAAATGAGAAAAAAATTAATAAGAATTTCATATTCATATACTACCTTTAAACACACTTCCAACAAGAAAAGGTCCTTACCTCCTGACAGGTCTTACACCAGCTCCACATGAGGATTGTCCTAGCATCTGTGAAATCCAAATTGGTGTCAAGGTATCAGAGGAGTACTTCCACACAGCCAGTATCATGGACAAACTGTGATCAACCATAGCCACTGAACACTCACAGTACGGACAGGTGTATGTCGGGCTGAAGCAGCAGCACTCCAGGAAGGCACCAAGTGGGAAGTCATTCCTCCTATGGGAAGGACAATATCAAAGTTTTTATAAAAAAAAGAAAAAAAGAAAAAAGACCAAATATTTGTCAACTGCTTTATGATGTCATACTTTATAATCCCTGATAAGATTGCTAGGGTTAGTTATTTCTTACCAAATAAAAGTGACAAATATATAAGGCTTAAGGGTACTGTCCTGGGAAATGACCACCTTTCTCTACTCGAATTACATCATAAAAAAATATCGGTTAGAGATAACTGATTGATTCTTTTTGCATGATATAGAGTATAGAATTGCGCTTCGTTTCATATATAATTATGACCTCGCTCCCCCATAGGAGGGGGGGTACCCCCCAAAAAGTAAAAAAAAATTGCTTTTCTTTTCTTCGCCTTCGGTACATCATAACTCCCACAGTTCTTTACTGAATAGTCCCCGAAAAATACTTGTGTTAGATCAACCCTAGCCTAAGGCCATGTAAATGGCCAATTTTTTAATTTCCTTTTTTTTTTCTTTTCTTTTGGCGGGGGACTGCTTGACATGGATGAGAGAGAGGGAGAGTGAGAGTGAGAGAGAGAGAGAGAGAGAGAGAGAGAGAGAGAGAGAGAGAGAGAGAGAGAGAGAGAGAGAGAGAGAGAGAGAGAGAGAGAGAGAGAGAGAGAGAGAGAGAGAGAGAGAGAGAGGAGAGAGAGAGAGAGAGAGAGAGAGAGAGAGAGAGAGAGAGAGAGAGAGAGAGAGAGAGAGAGAGAGAGAGAGAGAGAGAGAGAGAGAGAGAGAGATGGTCACTGAGTTTATAATTTTCGAGAAGGATCATATGTACGTGAACGTACGCACATAAAGTTAAAAAGATTAATCATCCTCATTTAGTAGGCTTACATCGACTTTCATATTTAAATAATAAAATATATTAGTTATCCCTCTCAAACCATTTTCTTTGATAATTATCAATATTAACAGATTGCAAACGAGAAAAGGTGTAGAGTTGGTGATTAGCCATTTGCACCCATTATCTTTACTAAGAAGTGCATAAAATCATACAGACGCCTAGGTGTGGTGGGATATTTGCGAATTTATGGTACCTAAGACCTACGGTAACATCTAAACATATTAATTTTTATCGGGAACGCACAAAACAAATGCGATAGCTTTTGGAACTTTGGACAAAGAGTGCGCACACAAACATGCTCAAAATTCCAGATAGTTTTTATTTCTGAGCGGGTATTTCTGAGAACTATCATCGTCAATATGAAACAATCTGTAACGCACTCATACATCCAAAGTTCAAAAATCCGACATTTAGGTAACATTCATACAGAATTGGTCTTTACAACGGTAACTACCAATTTCAAATCAAATCAAATTTACCCATGCTGTGATGTACCGACCGTTGAGCGAAATGTAACGGAAATATTTCAATCCTTACTTATAACGCTATTTTCAAACATTAGCGCTTCATATCTGATATACATACAGATTACTTCATAAACTAAAACATATTACCAGGGAGTCTCGATTGAAGCATATTCCGTGTGTAAAAGGACACAAAACTTAGATTTTTTAAACATACATTTCGCAAAATATTTTGTCATAAATAACGGTGATATAATTTTTTCCTGATATTGGTATAAAAGTGTTCCATGAACATTCACGAACTCATATCTATGTGCAATGTCACAATCAAATGCCATATGCACGATTCCAGCAAGCAGAAGTCCACATAGGTGTACCTAGGCGCTCATTAATGATGTACCTCCCCAGGTGTTCAGTGTGTCCCGCGTCGGCTGCAAGACAACGAGCCATAGCAGGCGCTTAATACTCATTTGGTAGTTTCCTCATCTATGTACCTATACTATACGCTAGCTAACTCAGTTTGACCCCCTGTCACCCCCATCATCTGGGACGGTAGGATTTTGATATATTTTATATCATTCAAAGTTACACAAATGGAAAAAAAGAAAAAGAAGAGAAGAGAAGAGAGGAAGAAAACAGAACAGAACAGAACACAAAAGTTAAGAAAAGAAAAGACAAGAAAAGAAAAGAAAATAATAGAAAAGAAAACAAAAGAAAAAAGAAAAAGAAAACTGAAAAAGAAAAAAATGAAAAAAAGAAAAAAGAAAAAAGAAAAAAGAAAAAACAGAAAAAGAAAAAAAAGAGAGAAAGAGAAAGAGAAAGAGAAAAGAAAAAAGACAAAAAGAAAAGAAAGACAAAAAGAAAAGGAAAAAAAAAAGAAAGGAAAAGAAATGAAGAGAAAAGAAAAGAAAAAGAAAAATAACAAAAAGAAAAAAAAATATAACAAAAGACAACGAAGAGAAAAACCAAATAAAAATAATAAAAAAAGAAAAAGAATGAAAAAAGAGAGAAAAAAAGAAAAAAATAAATAAAAGAACCAGTAGCAACAAGCTGTCCAGCGCCAAGAGCTGGTAATCGATAGTAGAAGCCACAAGGTGAATCTGAGGGTCAGTGAGCCGTATGGCCATGGACCTGTCGACAACATCCTTGGTGCAGACGGCCCCATTCAAGATCTGGCACTAACTCCTGCTTCCTCCTGGAATTTTCTTGAACTGGACATACCTGGAAATGAAAACAGGAAACGCATCTGAACTATTTGGATTTCTCTAAGGAGCTGAGGAGGAGCAGGGCTTTTTTGGCCGATTTTCAGACTATTCATCATCATCATCATCAAAAAAATAATAAATAAATAAATAAAATAAAAAATAAATAAAAAAAGAAAGAAAGAAAGAAAGAATAATGTATTATATATATATATATATATATATATATATATATATATATATATATATATATATATATATATATATATATATATATATATATATAAACAAAGAGATACAAAAGATATGATATCCATCTGTGATAAAAAATCTGAGTTGACTTTACTGTACCAAAAAAATATTATGGTACTAAACTAGCATATTTTCAGAGCCAAACTTTTAGACCTATGGCTTCCTGTAAGAAAACTTACATACAGGACTCTTTCTATATTGACAAATTATTTAAAAATATGTACACTGTCAAATTCTTATCAAAGTCTTTCTTTCTTATGAAGATTTATATCAGTCTTCTTCATCAAAAATTTGTCTTTAATTATTCATGATTTACGTGTTTTCTTTTATACACTTATTTATAATCCCAGTTTCATTCTTGACAAGATCTGACAATTCTTTTGTATCTTCCTATGTATAAAGTTATTTATTGAATTAACTTCAGATTAATGGAAATTCCAAGTTTATAATCTAATTCAAAGTTTATGTATATATATCAATGTTTTCTTTTTCCATAGTTAGTTCAAATTCAAGTTTATATTCAAAGGGCTCTTAGACGCAGGGAGAGTAATAC